TGAGGAGGGCAGGGGTATGTGGTTTTAGGAAGAGGGCTTAGTAATGGCCTTACTGAGGCAGCATCTCTGGGGCAAAATGTTGAAGAAGGTGAGGAAGTAAGGAAGTGAGCCAGAGCTGCCAGGGGGAAGAGCATTTGTTGCAGGTAGAGATAACAGCTAGAGCAATGACCCTGCGATGGAGGCTTGCTGGGTGTACTACTGGCACGGTGTGGTGGCCAGTGTGGTTGGAGTCAATGAGCAGAGGGAGACAGAGGAGGCCTGGATAATGGAAAGTTCACCTAGATGGAAAATCTCCCCGTTAGATGTCTGCATTCCAATCCCAGTGTCATGATTCTCACTTAACCTTTCCGTGTGTTAGTTTAAAAATAAAATTTTCAGACTTTTTTCCCCCCATGTGATTTGTTCCTTAATCCAAAATTCCTGCTATGAAGGATTCCAGTTAGTAACATTTTAATGTGCTCAAATAGATAAACAAAGGAAAGTCCTTATTATTCAAAAAAGCCTTTAACACTGATAACAGGATAATTCTGTTTCCCCACTTAGCATTTTTTTGCAGCCATTGTAGTTCACTATAACTTCAATGGAAACGCAGAAGAAATGTATAGAACAAAGACAGGAATCTGACTCTTCACCTTCCTTAGTATTCCAGAATGGCATGTTATGGAAAGATGTGAACATCTGAAAGTGTTTCCTCTCAGAGTGGGTGTCCAGCTCCCCGATCACCATAATAGGTAGTCAAGAGAATAAAGTCCCCAGTTTACAATTAGGCTTGCTCTTCTTTTATCGGAACGCCTACTCACACCAGAAAAATTTATTTTTATGGGTCAGAGAATAGTACACCACCGCATGCAGCCCACAGTGTTTTGGTTATCATACCTTTCATCCTACGGGGAACACAAGGACATTTATTTTTAAAAACGTAAAAAGTTAACATTGAGTTTTCAAACGTCTAGGGGCTTTTTGGCTTATTCCTCCAAGCACTTCACAATGTGGACACACTGAGAAGCTCTCTAAGAGCTGAAAAAGTCTCCATTATGTCTTCAAAGGTTTACTTTTGTTTACTTTTGATATATCAGGCACACTCTTACGGACTGAGATGAGTATTGCCAATTAACTCTAGTAAAAATATTGTTTGATAACTAAAAGCAGTGAGCTCCACTTCAAGAGAATTCTTGTTCTCTGGGGTAGGGCACTGGCATCCGGTTCCACACAATCTCAGGGGCAAAATTATTAACCCAAAAGACCAGGTTCAACTGACAAGCCCAAAGCTCCCCATCCCTAGTGTACATGGCCAATCCAAAAGCAAGAGATAAGAGACAAGAGAGAAACTAAATGACTGTGTGATCTTCGGTTGGCAAGGTAAGCACCACAATCATAAGGGTATCTTATGAGGATGTCCCTAGTGACCAACTCACTTGCCCACTGCATACCCAGTTTTCCTCTATGTAAACTGGAATGCTGTTGCTTCTTCCATCTGTTGGAGGTTTTAAAGATACCACCTGGTTTCTAGATAGCTTTGTAATCCCAGGTTACATTAATAGAAACATAATATCCAGATTAAGCCAGGAAGTGACTTATCAGCATTCAGTACTGGTAAGACTGGTTTAGAATTACTGGTGTTTAGTTCTGGCCCACTGTTTTTAGATGGGCATTGATAACTTGGATAAGATCTGGAAGAGGGCACCAAAATGGTGAGGTATCATATGCCCTGTTGTTTTTCTGTCTCTCTTGTTCCGCTCTCTTTGATGCTTACACATTCCTCTACATTCTCCCATGTGTACCAATCTTCATTGCATTCTATGAAATGCAAATATGTCCCATTTGTGTATTGTCATTTTTCTTGACAGTTACTCAGAGTTAAGAAATATATAGCATCACCCCCAGTACCCACCACCACCACTGAGAATCAGAGATCAGAGCCAGGTGTGTGTAAAGAGATCACAGGGGCCACTGAAAGGGCATCTAAGATGATAGTAGTCCCTAACCTTATTAGGAATTATCATGTACCATGAAATAGATGGATCACAGAATTAAACCACTAAAATTGACCTTAAATAGTACATACATTTCATAAGAAATAAAAATATCTCATTCAAGAAAATGTGCTTAAAATTTTTTTTTTTTTTTTGCATAGTAACACAAAAGGTGCCAGGGGAAAAAAAAAAGTAATTTTCAGAAGTAAGTAATGCCTAATACATGACCTTGGCCCATGTATAAAATAAAATGTAGCTTTTGTGAATTGCTAAAGTAATACTTCTTTCCAAGTTTATATTTTGGGTCATCAAAATGCCTTGTCAATTTAAAAATCAATTATAATGCTGTTAGGTGGTGAAAGGAAAGCCAATGTAGTGAGTGTTTGATGAATGCAGAAGACAGGCATCAAATTATTCGGATGTAACAGAGCAGGTAAGAGTAGGCATTGCAAGTTGACACGTATGAAATACTCATTTACAGAGAGGAATGCATCTCTCTCTGTAAATGGCTTAAGTAGCAGCTCTTCCTGAGTTCCAAAAATCATTAGATTTGGCTTAAGCAAAGTGAAATAAACAAAACTCTGCCTAAGTGAGAGTTAATTGTCTTTCCCTGCCTTTCAAAGTCATCAAATTCCAAACTGGAATGTGTTGTTATTTCTTGGTTCAGATCAGAGCTGATCGGCCATTAGCATTGGAACAATGCCTCTCTCAAAGTGCACTGACGCTGAGGAGATAGAGACGCCAAGGTTTAACTGAATTACACCAAGCAAGTAGTGATGTGAATCAGTTTTGCCCTCCCTCCTCAGGGTTCGAGGCCTCTGCAAGCATCATGGTTTGAGGTTGGAGTAGTTTCTAGAGTTTTGGTCTTGTTCTGGGTTGTCATGGCTCTAACCCACTTTGTGATGCAGGTCTTCCAGAGTCATCTTGTACCTTCTAAGCAAACTCAGATCCTGATCAGATTTTTGGAGATTCAAGGCCACAATTTAGCACCAGTATTTTTCAGTTCTTTCTTGGAAAAGATGACCAGGGCCACACTGAACCATTTAAGAATAACTCAGCTCAGAGCAGACAGCTTGGTCCATCCCACATCCAAACACCTAAACTTAGGGCTGTCATGCTGCGGGGAAGACCCGCTATAGCTTCTTTCTCCCTTTTCATTCTAACTATTAAGGGCAAACAGTAAAGTCTAAGTCTTCTTTTACCACAATTCAGTTTTCTAACATATCAGGCTAAGTAAATTCTGTTCTTTTATTTAACTTGAAAATGAATCAATAACTTAAACAGGTATGTCTGATGTGATAGAATTTTTAGAAAGGGATTATTTACATATCTAATTTTAGTAATTTTTTCTAAGTTACCTTTAAATTGCCATTAATAGGAGGTAATGACTATTACAGAGGATTTTTACTTTCAAGTTCTTCTACATATATATTCGTGTAAATGAAATACAAGGATTTAGTCATTCAGCACAGTGCATGGAACAGGAGTACATGAGGAAACAAAGTTCTACATATATACCAGTGCTTAAATAAGTGGCTTAAATTCTTATACTTTGGGATCCCAGAGTGAATAATTTTGTTGCTGCTAGTGATACTATGTCCAATTTTGTATTCTTGTTTTCAGTTCTCAGGCATTATTCTGGGATTTTAGGGGGGTTGTAAGGTGGGTTGAAAAATTGTTGTTGACATTTTCATCTGGAGAAAAAAAAGTCATCTGATAAAAGGAATCAATCTTCTAGATTCAAAGCAACTTCAGAATTTTATGTTTAGGAATTACCCATGGGCCTAATTAGTTCCATTTAGAATAATTTCTTAACTTTAGAATGCCTGGTGGACAGGGAAGATTTATTTACATGTCCAGATTTTAGTTGAGTTAAATTTTGCCTGGCTTGTTTAAATTTGTAGAAAAGCAAACCACTTATTTATTCTTCTTAAAAATAAGAGCTGATTTGACGTAGATTGTTTGTATCAAAATACACTGATGCCTAGATTGGTCTGAAATCATTCTAAGTGATCATCTAGTTTGATAACTGCTTAAAGGAAATAGTTTTGGATAAACAATGAGACTTTGGAGAAAACAAGCATCCATCTCTTCTTTTTTTTCTTTTTTAAAGTAAATGGTTATCCTATAATAACACTATGCAAAAAATAATATGGTTCTACTATTTTAAAGACCATACTGGAAGGGTAAAAACCGAAGGAAAAAAATATTTTCCAATAACAAATATTATAATGAATATTTTAATCTCTAATTCGCAACCACACTTTAAAAACCTGGCAACTACACTTTACAAATCTGCCAAATTAAATATAATTTTTCCACTTTGATCTCATTTAAAAGATAGTATGTTTATATTAATTGCAAAATGTTATTTGAGGAAGTTCATAAAATACTATTCTGTTTTCAAATTTTTGTTTTATAGTTTATTTTGTAACATTTTAGATGGGTCTACACAGTAACTATGATTAAACAGTGCAAATTCACTGAAATATTTTGATGCTGAGTTTACATTTACATGACAAACATTTAGAAATGTATTAAGATATGACTCACTGCTACATGATTTCCCATATAATATGAGTCAAACCGTGTTTCCTAAATAAAATATAAGACAAATGAATTTTGATACAACACAGTCATCTTACAAAGTCTATTTTACTCATGGCCCCAATATCAACATTAAAAGAGTTCCAGTATATCTGAAGAATGAACCAGATTTTTCAGTTTTTAATCCTAATATTTGGCTTTATACATGGCCACGTACATCCTCCCCTGGAAATAGGATAAAGAATATTAATGAGAATTAACTCTCTTGAAACATTTCTATTATTTCTTGTTGAGAGAACATGTCTTCTTGGTCACTGTTAGCATACAGACATTATAAAATAAATAACCTGACGTATTGACGTGTAGCTCCTGGAGAATGAGTAAACAAAACTGATGTTAACCAACTGACTTCACTCTTCTAAGAGTAACACTGTAGTGATGAGAGAGTACTCCCACATACACAAACATCACAGTAAAAGGTGCCTATGATTTTTAACTTCATTGTTCAAATAAAGGGTTCATTAAGTGATCACAAGTCAGCAGGCTTGGTTGCTTCCACATTATCAACTTCCAGAGAATACATATGACGTTTAATCTGGTCTGGCTGTACACTGAATGTTTATAACGGTAGTAGCAAGATTAAAATAGAAAATACAGTCACTATTTGGGGTTTGAAACAAATTACAAAACCACATGCTTTGTCATTCAACAGGAAAGCTTAAATCAAAAGGCAGCTGGATCTTAAATGCAGCCGATTGTTCCTCCAAAGGCCAAGTGCCATGCTTATTGAGGGTAGGTTTTATAGCTCCTTCTGACACTTTACATGAAGTGCCTTATCAGCACATCTGCAGCCTTGACTGCAGCCTAAATGTTTGTATATTCCTTTTTATTAGGGCAACTTCATATTGTTTACACACTGTTTTCATTTCTCCAAGGAACCATTTCAAAATGATCTTCCAGATGCTATATAACTAAGAACTTTTAAACTACTGACCTCAGAGGTCAGCCTGTTTACTGGCATTTGACTGTGTAGAACAGGAAGTTTGTGTTGCATCTTGTGTTCTTAATGAAATCCGACAACAAAGGACTGAACGCATAAGTCTCAGAACAGGAGGCCTAAGGATGACAAAGACCCAAGGGTCAATTATTGAATTAATTGATAAAAATCTAAGAGCTTGGAGGTCCCACTTTTCCTTTCGCGAAGAGGTTTCATTCATATATGCAAAAATCTGTAAAGAAGCAAAAGGGAAAAATGTTAGTTTCACATCGTGGCAGCGGACAGCCTTAGTCCTATATTACGTCTTGAGATTTAAAAGCAAAACCATGTTTTGTCTGTGGTAGTGGTGGGGAATGAAAGGTGGGGAGCAGGAATCTTACCTTTCTTCCTTATGTAAACTGTAACACAATGAACATATTTTTTCCCCTTGAACTCAATGAAAAGCATGTTTTCTGTGGAATGCAATTAACATTAACACCATGCACAATGTCCTGGTGTCATTGGGAATGGAGAGAAATAAATAAACTTTTCTTGTCACCTGGAATAGAGTATTTTAATAATATAAATAACAATAATATTAGTAGCTCCAATGTATCAATAACCTAATATATGTGACATAAATTGTTCTGGGTACTAAGCCCGCTTTATCTCTACTCCTTATAGAAACTCTGAAAATTATAGATTGTCTCTTTTTAACAGGGAAGTGAACTTCAGGAAAATTAATAACATGTTAGATTTACTTCCAAATACTAAATCTAATGATCACAATTCAGTGAGACAGGGTCTGCAATGGAGCACCCTCAGTGGGAGTATGAGTTCTGGCCATTGGACTAGGTTTGAATCCTTGCTCTGTATATAGTTTTGGGACCAATGGCAAGATACTAATAATGAACCTTTGTGCCTTAGTTTCCACGTCTTTAAAATGGGTGACAATAATAGCATACCCACTTCATAGAGTTACTGAAAGGAGGATAGGAAGGGATATGTGTAAGCTACTTAGATCAGTGCTCACATTGTAAGTGTTCCACAATAGTCATTGTTATTAGCTCCATCTTATAAATGCAGACACTGGGGTATGGAAAATTAGATAATTTGCACAAGTACCCAGGGCTGGTTGGTGGCCAAATTAGGATGCAAATTCTAACTCTCCTGATGGCAGTGCAGTGCTCACTGTGTGCTACATGCAGGCCTGTGTTACAGCAAAGGCCTCAGAGCAATGTCCTGAACACTGGAAAGCTGACACATCTTAATGTGTGAACCAAACTGCTCTACCAGCTCTCAAACGATTTCTTAGATATTTAGGGAGCAACAGATACCTGCTGGGTTGGAAGGAATGGAATAGTGCATTGTGATAAAGATCACGCTTCCACAGAGCTCACAGAAAAGAGGAAAACAAGGATGGATCACAGCTAGCCATTTAAAACCAGTGTTTTGTAAGAATCCAGGGTCTTTCTTACCAATGGCTTTAGAGAGCTATCCCCTCTTTTCTTCTCTCCTTCTACAGAAGAAGGAGCTGCTTGTTTCCTTTCTCCTAGTACTTACTCTGCAGGCATCTGACAACTGGATATACAAAGCAAATTGCAGAGAGGGCAAAGGGTAGTCAACTTCGGTTTGCTTATGTTAGGACAAGAGCAGGAAGGTTTGGCAGCCATAGGTGTTTATGCCCGAGAATCTTGGCATAGGGAATGGAGAAAAGATTTGGCAGATGAGTAAGGAAAAAGAAGAATTGATGGTGGGTTTCCCAGATTATAGAGAGAAGAGGAAAGCTAGGTGAGGAGATGCAATGGAGCAATAGTTTTGTCAGTTAAACTGTTTTGGATGAAAACTATACAGGCCGGTGTATTTAAGGAGTGATTTGGAGGTAAGAAATTCAGGATAATGATGCACATAGATCTACAGATTAAAACACATTAATTATTACATATGCACACCCATGTGTGCACATGATGCGTAACTAAGCCTTCTGTAGAAAGGGCCTGCAGCCGAGTTGATGATCTAGTTTAGCTAGAGAACATGTTAACACTGAATTGGCCAGCCAAGAAGTGCCGAAAAGGCATAGCCTCTAGTGCTGCAGCTTCACACATTAAGATGAGTCAGGATTTTAGGGGAGAATGACCAACACCAGAGTTCCTGAATGTCTTTAGAGCGTGACAGAATAATGAGAAGTGAAAAATGGTTTTAGAGGATGAAGCAATTTTGTACTGTTTCCTTTCCTTTTCATCTACTATGCTGGGTAATTTTGAGAATTGCTTAAAATTTGCACTTCGGGGAGTGACCAGTACTTTGTAGAAGACAGCTCTTTCCGCCCCCTTCCCCAAGACGAAGTCTCTGTGTCGCCCAGGATGTAGTACAGTGGCGTGATATCGGCTCACTGCAACATCTGCTTCCTGGGTTCAAGCGATTCTCCTGCCTCAGCCTCCCAAGTAGTTGGGATTACAGGTGCCCGCCACTATGCCCGGCTAATTTTTGTATTTTTAGTAGAGATGAGGTTTCACCATTTTGGCCAGGCTGGATTCAAACTCCTGACTTCAAGTGATCTGCCCATCTTGGCCTCCCGTAGTGCTGGGATTACAGGCATGAGCCACCACACCTGGCCAGTCCCTTCTTTTATACTTGGAGAAGAGACATACTTCAGTGACCCTCAAAATTCTTGATGTAAGTTTTGTCTTCTACCTCCCCATTTTTTTCTTTTGGTTCTTATCTTTTGCCTAGATTACTATATTTTTGATCTTATGGATGCTGGGATTTAAAAAGATTGTGGTAAAATAAATATAACATAAAATTTACCATTTTGCCATTTTCAGCTATACATTAAATACAGTTACATTGTGGTGCAATCATATTGTTTATATTTTCACTTTTCTGCATATTATGTTTTGACATCTTAAATTCTTCTTGGCTGGGGAGAGACTGCTCCTCCTGGGGCTAATTCTTAGAGATAGCGAAGAGTTAGGCTGGGAGCATGTCTCTGATACACAGACTAACCTATTCAGGGCCAGAACTCTTCTATCTAGCCCATACACCCAGAGAAAATATGTATTCCTCTGCTTCAGTCATTCCAGTGCCAGGTACCAGGCAATTAGGGACCACCTCTATAGCTTAGAGCCTATTGAAATGATTCAAACTAACCAATTCTAAACTATCGACCCCGCTCTGCCTTTCTTGTGGAAACTCCAATAAAGGCCTGGCCCAGGTCCTCCCCTCCCTCCTGCCCCTCTGCCTCCTGACTGAAGCTGATGCCTTTTCATGTGGCCCTGGGTGGTATGCCATATCTATGTTTTCCTGAATGTCTCCTGCGTCTCCTCTTGTGGATGGATGCACTTGACTGCTATAACATAAAAGAAGACAGAACGGCAACCATCACCCCCATCTTCAGAATTTTTTTCATCATCCCAAATTGAAACTCTGTACCCATTAAACAATAACTGCCCATTCTTCTCACCCTCCAGGCAGTCCTGAGTTTGTTGTTGTTGTTGTTGTTGTTGTTTTAGAGACAGGGTTTCACCATGTTGGTCAGGCTGGTCTCAAACTCCTGACCTCAGGTGATCCTCCGGCCTCGGCCTCCCAAAGTGCTGGGATTACAGGCGTGAGCCACAGCACCCGGCCAGTCCTGAGTTTTTAAATAAAAGATGTCACAAAGGATATAAGACAATTAATAATATGTCAGTGTTATTCTAGACTTCCATTTCAGAGGTTGGTAGAAGTTATCCATCTTTTTGCATGCACTGCCAATATATTTGCTATGAGAAAAATACCAAGTGCTAATCCCAACAAGTCAAGTGAATTTTAATTCTTTAGGGCAGGCTCTCTCTACAGGGCTTTGTTAAGAATGTAGAGCCTTGTTGTGACATTTACAAAGCGCCTCTAATCCCAGCTACTTGGGAGGCTGAGGGGAAGGATTGCTTGAACCTGGGGGCCTGAGGTTGCAATGAGCCGAGATCACACCACTGCACTTCAGTCTGGGTGAGAGAGCGAGACTCTGACTCAAAGGGAATGAATGAATAAATAAATAAATACATAAAAATATTCTGAGGTGTTGCTTCCTTCCTCAGAGTCTCCAGCTTAATTAGTCTAGGCCGAGACATGGGTATCAGGGTTTGAAAAGTCTTCCCAACAATTTTAATATGCAGCCAGGGTGTGAGCCGTCCCTTTAGAGCCTTATCTAAACCTGAAATAGTTTAAAATCATTCATTTATTACACTTAAAAACAAAAGGCCCACTTAGACCTGGTCAATCAAACAAATGACTTTGAGATTTCAGAATTCATTTCCTGATCATTAATATACAATCCAATTTTCCCTTGGAAATAGAATATCCTAGAGATAGCAGCTAACATTTATTAAATACCTACTGTGTGTTAGGCATGGTGCCAAACAATTTATAAGGCATATTTTGTTTAATATTTACACAAACCTGCAAAGTATTATTATTCCCATGTTAGAGAGAAGGAAATGAAGGTTTAGTTACATTGAAGATCAGTTACTTTCACTGTCTGGGTAAGTAGAGAAGATGTGGAGTCAAACTGAAGCCATGGGACACCAAACTTCGCTTTTAGCCACTACACACTCCGCTGCCACCCATTAAAAGCCTATAATGTAAAGCTTCGCATGAAATTCACAAATGTCTGATCACATTATGGGTTTGGAGATTTCTCTTCAAAGCTGTCACAAAGGTTTACGGATATCATGGTTCCTGTTTATGGACTGAAAAATCACGGCTATTTCTTTTTGAGATAGAATCTCCTTCTGTCGCTATGCTGGTGTGCAGTGGTGCGATCTTGGCTCACTGCAACCTCCGCTTCCTGGATTCAAGTGATTCTCCTACCCTAGCCTCCCAAGTAGCTGGGACTACAGGCACGCGCCACCACCATGCCTGGCTAATTTTTGTATTTTTAGTAGAGATGGGGTTTCACCAGTTTAGCCAGGATGGTCTTGATCTCTTGACCTTGTGATCAGCCTCCTCAGTCTCCCGAAGTGCTGGGATTACCTGCATGAGCCACCCCACGCCCAGCCCATGACTATTTATTTATTTACTTTTTGAGACAGAGTGTCGCTCTGTTGCCAGGCTAGAGTGCAGTGGTGAGATCTTAGCTTACTCAACCTTCGACTCCTTGGTTCAAGTGATTCTCCTGCCTCAGCCTTCCAAGCAGCTGGGATCACAGCCACGCAACAACATTCCCAGCTATTTTTTGTATTTTCAGTAGAGACAGGGAGGGTTTCGCCATGTTGGCTA